ACTTTTTGTTGCCAAAAATGGAAGAACTGAACTTGGTTGACATGTGGATTCAACAAGATGGCGCTACATGCCACACAGCTCGCGATTCTATGGCCATTTTGAGGGAAAACTTCGGAGAACAATTCATCTCAAGAAATGGACCGGTAAGTTGGCCACCAAGATCATGCGATTTGACGCCTTTAGACTATTTTTTGTGGGGCTACGTCAAGTCTAAAGTCTACAGAAATAAGCCAGCAACTATTCCAGCTTTGGAAGACAACATTTCCGAAGAAATTCGGGCTATTCCGGCCGAAATGCTCGAAAAAGTTGCCCAAAATTGGACTTTCCGAATGGACCACCTAAGACGCAGCCGCGGTCAACATTTAAATGAAATTATCTTCAAAAATTTTATGCGTTTTTTTTAAAAAAAAAGTTATCAAGCTCTTAAAAAATCACCCGTTATGTTCTCATAGGATTTTTGTGATAACGAAAACTCACCACAGCATGACGGTGACGTTGTCGTTGCTTCTCTCTCTCCCTCTCTCTAACAACAGCAATTTTATATGTTGATACGGACGGCAAGTACGGAATGGCGGCTCCGTCGGTGGGTAATTGGCGCAACAGGGTCTCTTTGTCGGCTCGCAAGGTGCTGCCGGCTAGCAGCGACCTTATGACTTTTCTCTTGTCACGTAATTTAATGACGTCCTTCGTCCAGATGATTGTTGTTGTTGTTGTAGCGGGTACTCAGCCCTACCTTGTCCATTAATCGTTGTCGTCAAGCTCAACTAATGGGAAGCCCAGGAAGCGTGCAAATTCGATTACTTGAGTGGGGTTTAGGGGCATGCGAAGAGATGTCTCTAGTCGTGGGGTGTCTATCCGCATGAAGGGAACATCTGCCTCTAATCTGCTCAGGTACGAGTTTAACCTGCTGCAGTAGCCTGAGCGAAGTTAGGCTATTGTGGCCCGAGTCTCCCGAGGCAAACGAAGGTCTGACCTATCCACGTCTGGTGGTTGTGTTCCGAAAACGGTATTCACAGGTCGAGAGTCGGTGTAAGTGGGGACCGACTCTCTGTGAGTAAGCTGACGGGTCCAGAGGTCGTTTTATGAACCTCTTGACTTCGTCCATCAGCTCGTGACGTGCCTTGGCGAGGGCTCTGCTGCAAGAAGGTATCTGTTCGGGTGCCCGCGTCTGTGACATCCTACTAGAAACTGCTTACAAAGCATTGTGTTATGCTCCTTCATGGGGAGCATCTGAGCCTCGTCGTGTAGTGGTGCTGTGGCGACATCAGAAGGCGTCTGGTGGCTGTCCGGAGCGCCGTGTTTTGGTAAGTCTGTAGCTTCGTCCACTGCGTCCTGCCAGTCCCCGGCGACCAAATGAGCGCAGCGTAGTTAAGAACCGGCCGGCTGATTGCTTTGTATGTTGCCAACAACATTTCTTTGTCTTTGGCCCATGTGCTGCCGGCTAGCGATTGAGGACCTTGTTGCGCCTCTGTACTCTGACAGCGCAGACTATCGAAGGTAATTCCGAGAATTTTAGAGTTATTCACCGTCGGGATTATTTCGCCATCGACGTGAATTCCTAGCTGAAGTCTGACCTCCTACGTTCAGGTGGTAAAAAGGGTGGAACTCCCCGTTAAATTTTTCTCGATTTTCTGGTTTTGTCTTCAAAAATTACTGACGAATGTCGACTCAAGTAAATCGCTGACCACCGTTTGAGTCCCTGTGCGAAAGATCTTCAACGTCTTCTAGTAGCGTGGAGTGGCTGAGGGTGTCAAACCCCTGACAGGTCCAGCGTTACTAAGACTGTTTTCTCGCAGGGGCGGGTTCGGTTCAGACCATGAATTTTTTGAGTGTTTATGGCGTCAAGAGCCATTGTCCTGCTGTGCACTTTACGGAACCCATGCAGATGCCTCGCTGGGATCAGGTAGTTCGTATAGTGCGGAAGTAGCAAGGCCTCAAGTGTCTTCGCTACTGGGAAAGGGGTGTTATCGGACGCTAAGACTCTCCTTTGGGATCCCTCTCCACGTTGAGATCCCTAATGCGGGGATTTCCGGGATCGGCCTGACGAAGGTTGTCACGCTCATCAACTAGGACAGACACTTCGACAGGAAAACTCGGACGGAGGTTATAAATGCATCCGACGGTTGTGCTCTGTATGCAGCCAACATTTGAATGAAATCATTTTATAAAATAAATGTCAGAGAGAGATGTTTCTTCCGACATCCATTTCTATTTTAATTGTTTTTGTTTTATTAAAAAGGTCTAGATGGATCACCCGATATACTTAATAGGGTGAAAATGCCTCGTGAATTTACTTAATTTAGTATAAAAACTAGTTTGTTTAACAAGTTTAAGCGGTTACGAGACATTTAAGGATTTATATGAATACCCAGGAAATTGCTTCGGAAAATAAATGACTAATCAACTGTTCCTAAAAGTTGCAAATTGTTAGTGCTTTTGCGTTTTCGTACTATCATTCATGTTTCTCTCACTGAGGATGAATCGTCGCCTGGATAAAATATTGTCGTATGCGCTATTTTGACGATTTTCAGGTATAGATGCAGTTATATATTTTAAACTATTTTCCGATTGGTGTTATCATTTTTTGGATATGCCCTTTATTTTCCGAGATATTGACTAAAACTTTGTCCGTCACTTAGTAAAAATTTAGTTAATAGGGCAGCCACACTA